CTATATGGGAATACATAAGCGTCTGGGAACGGATGCGGTGGGCACGGCAATGGGCTTCGGTTTGGGCGAACCATAACCGGGGGTTGTTAATACCGAATGCCGGCAAGTTAATGTGAGAAAACATGGGAAGGTCCTCCATGTTTAGTTTTGATTGCTCCAAATGTGAAATATACCGTAAACAAGTAAAATAAAATGAAGTGAAATTCCTGAAGACTCTGGGGTACCGTAGGAAAATAAACAAGGGCTCACCAAATATGTAGTGGAAAAGATACTACATATAGGAATATAAATGAAATAAACGGTGCAAGGAACGGACTCACAGAAGGATTGTCCGCTGGTCGATTGATCCTGTTCTTGTGATGTGTGGTTCCGGTCGATGAGGTGTAGAGGAGCTGAAATGCATGACTGCGACAGTTAACGGACCGCTTGACGATAACTGATACTGCTTGCCTAATTCCTCAGCAACACTCGGAGAACACGTGCGTATTTTCGAACAGAATTTTGTATTGTGTCTTAGGTACTGCGCATATTAATACAAGCTGTACAATCGGGTCAGATAAAGTGGATAGAAAAGTAAGACACTACACCCTTCCCAACAAGGACTGATTTTAGCAAACTGTTGAAGCGTTACAAGACACGCATGGCCCGTAGACGCAAGAACCTGGACTGTTATACTGGCTCAAGCCGCAAGTCCTGTGAACTGTCCTGTCCTGTCCTGTCCTACTTCATGTCGTATTGACTTTCAGAAAAAAATCATTTACTCGCAGTGTTGGAAGCCGAAAGATCAGCCAACAACACACCTATCTGGAAACACGATTGGCTCAGGCCACACACCATCCTATGCAAGTTGAACTGAATTGAATCCAAGTGGTCTGATCTGACCCGATTTGTTTATGCGCACCAATTAGTCCTTCACCGTGTTCATCGTTAGTTGCCCGCGAAATGGATCCGCAAGCAAGTCCTCTTTATACCCCGTTTTTTGGGGTAATGGGAGCCGTTTCGGCCGTGGTATTTTGCGGTAAGTCTTCCTGATTTTCGTGAATATTGCGTAGCTCTTGGTGCCGCCTATGGGACCGCCAAAGCGGGGGCTGGAATATGTTCCATGGGTGTAATGCGACCCGAACTGATAATCAAGTCCATCATACCTGTTGTTATGGCGGGNNTGGCGGGTATTGTTGGTATCTATGGCCTTGTTGTAGCTGTGCTCGTTGTTCAACAACTTGACGCGGCGAAAAATATGGACAAGTAAGATGATACGGTGATTTTTCTTGACCTGTCTTAGGTCCCTCTATCAACTTGGTGCCGGATTGAGCGTTGGTCTGAGTGGCCTTGGCGCTGGCTTTGCTATTGGGATAGTCGGAGATGCTGGTGTGCGGGGCACAGCTCAACAAGCGAGACTGTTTGTCGGCATGGTTCTGATCCTCATTTTCGCGGAAGTGTTAGGGTTGTACGGACTGATTGTTGCGCTTATGTTATCAACCAAGTAATCCACGAATTCTTATACTTGGTTATGTTTATCAATGACATTCGCTGGGCACATCGTATTCGACTCCCTTCCTCGTGACGTACTTACTGAGATATTGATTTTTGTCGTCTGTGCAACGTCCTTGAGTTATCTTCAACCGCCGTATATGTACGCGCATCCTGGCTTCTTCAGTCTGTTGGCCTCGACATTCCAATTTTATTTGTATCATTAGAAGACGGGAATCCCCGCACAATGTCAGTGCTCTTTAATTTCCGTCGTCGGACGTTTCCCGATGCCGAGGTAATCATGTATTTCAACCATGATCAAGTGGCTATCAGGCTTCCCACCATTAATCCGTTCCAAGCATGATCAATATAACATTGTAATTATTGCAACTCTTCTCTAGTCAGTCACGGATATCGTGTTCTATGTTGTAAGGTTGCGTCCGTTCGTGGAGTGTTACCTAAGTGTTCGGTTGAAATTGGCTACGCTGGGTTGGGAGTACTGTGCAGTTCTGATCGCCATCATGTCAAGGAGGCGCGTCAATGGTAACAGGTTACTTCGCATAGCTCGATCTCACGGTTTATCTGCGCCTATGGACTAATCTGTAGGCCGATAATTCCTTTAGTTTCCGCGGATCTTGTAGTGTTTTAGTCATTGTTGTACCTTATTTCGTGTTCTACTTACATTGTAAATTTCATGGAAGAAGTCTTCAATGGACATTTCAAATGAATATTTTAGCGTTATTGATTTTTTGTTAACCGTTTCCCATCCGAGTAAAGATGTTCCATTTTTCATATTCGACGTCTTAGAATAGTATCGCTATATGCGATATCTGAATTTCACGCGGGATGAGTGTTCTTGAATTGTGGAAAGCTGCGAAGAAATTGTTATGATCCCGTCAAGAATGATCATATTATGTTCTCCAAATTTACTGTCCCTGGATCTCGAACGTGTGGTTGATGTAATCCCTTCTAGATCGGCTATTGGCATTATTTCTCACTTGGATGCCTCAAGATTATTTGACATCTGGACCAACCGTTACTTGTTTGATGTGATGGACTTAACTGAATGCTGAATATCTTTGTTCAATCAGGTCACAGAACTTGTCTAGTGTCTGGTGACAAATCTGTGACATTCAGTATACATTATTGTTGGAAGAAAACCGGATTTCTGTGGTGTCTACGAAGGTGAGAACAGTTTGGTTAGATAGGGTGTGAACCATTAAGTCGCTTAAAGCAGTTCATTTATGGAGATTCTGAGCCCTTTTGGACTAGTCTGTGCGTAACAAACAAGGATAAACTTACCGAGTGCAGACATGTAACTGATTGTAATAGGGTGTACTTATATCTGGAACGCAAATTAGCATTGTATGTGTTTTGTTCGAAAGATGCAGAGTAATCTAGTAGAGGAGTCTAGCCGAATGTTTCAGTTTCAGTTTTTACAACCATTAACCATGCACTTTCGTGCGCCGGTTTTGGTTGCCCATTTGGATAAAAGAGCGAAATGATTGGAATGCCGAAGCAAATTCAAGCGGAGTATGAGGAATACATATAGAGTGGTGTTAGGAAAATAGCGAGTGGATGCACGAGCGCCACTGTTTGCGACACCCAAAGCCGAATGTAGGCTTTAACCTTCTAATAGTCGTATAACAAAAGCTAGCGTAAAAAATGGGAATTCCAGTTAAGCCTCTCTGTTCCGCACATTGTACGGCTGAACATATTGTTGCTTTTCGATGTGCTGTTGCAAGTTGTCTTGTAGATCTGGCTGCGTAGCTGACTCCGGTTGGAGGGGATTGGACAGGAGCCGTGAATGCCAGCCATATCACTCAGTGTAGCTAACCATCGGTGACCATCATCCCGAGGTCCCCAGCCAGGGAGCCTATGTGACCTCATCTGGTTAGGGTTTTCATACCCTCATGCCAGGTCTTAGCTTGACCGCCCTTCGTTTTTTTCCATCGCTGCTAGCTTTGGCAAACATCGTTTGCCGTGGCGGTTTCTAGTTGTGAAGAGTTGGTCTTGGGATACAATTGCGAGTGGTCGTCAGTTTTCATACGTTGGTTCTCTTGTTCTGTCACTTGCGTTGGGAGCAAGATGTCTTAGTGAAGCGGTTTCCTCTGTTTCATTGGAGAAACGGATACATGCGTATTGCGGGTTGCAGTATAGGAGTGATACCACCAAAGGGTCGTGTTCCGAGGACCGTGTGATCTTTTTAAGCCAAATAGGACATGGATTGGATAAGCACGTTGGAAGGGAAATACGAGTGGCGGACCTGCGGTTGAACTTCAGGAATCTTTCATGAGGTATCTCGTTGGTGGTGGTACACAGTAGAGAACGGACAAAACGGAAGGGATCCATAAGTACACTTTCCCACTGGGAGATGTTCGGTTGTTGAGACCTCAGCAATAGTGTGATGGCTTTCCATAGAGTGCTGTTTATTCGCTCGACCTATCTTTCCCGCGCGGATTATATGGAGTCGTTCAGCTGGTAGCGATTCCTTTGGTATGAAGAAAACGTTGCAACTCGTCAGATATGAATAATGCTCCGCGATCGGAATGGATATATGAAGGCAACTCAAGCAGTGAAAATAACTGATTAAGACACTTGATGACGGTCGACGAAGAAACATCCGAACAGGCGAAAGCAAGAGAAAACGTGAATGTTCGTCTCGTAATCAAGGGGTATTTTTATGGGATATGGATGGGAGTGGACCCTTTAAGTCAATACTGATTCTTTCAAATGGTTGTGTAGCTTTCCTAAATGTCGTTTGAGAAAGCGGAGCTTCTGCACATATTGCGCATTAGCTACTGGCGGCTTTGATTTCATTGAGTGAGAATGGTAGATTTTTGGAACGAACAAAATGCAACATTCGTGTAATACCGGCGTGAAAGAGTGTATTATGTAAATGTTTCAAGTCAGTGCGTGGCATAGCAGAAAAACTGGTTCCGAGAGTGTATCAACAGATTTCGGTCACCGGGACGGTACCGGACATCATAATGATGACACGAGAGTTCCAGTTTCCACCTTTGGATTTTATCATTTTTCACCTTTCTCTTGTGCTGTTTATCATACATGAATGCCACTGAATGCTGGTCAGTGATAAGAGTGAAATGATTGTTGAGTAAGTAGTGTCTCCATTTCCCTAGAGATTTGACGAGCTTCTTTTTCCATAGCAGAATGATGTTGCTCACTGGGAGATAAGGTGTAAGAGGAAAAGGCCACCGTCCGCCCCGGTTGAGCGTGGCAGCTATGGAAATTTCGGATGCGTCTGTCTCGACGACTAAGAGACGGATATAATTGATTGTAAACAGTGGCTTTTTCCAATTCATTTTTCATATTTTCCAACGCGTTACTGGACTGTCTGGTTGTTCACCAGAATGTGGATTTTATCAGAAAAACGAGGGATCCACTAGGCATAATACGCCAACATTTCGACTACTCTTCTCTATATGTAAATGTCGACATGCGCCGATAACTCTCGTAGAGCGCGGAATCGTTCAGAGTCAGGTTTAACCATCCCTATGTATGATTTCGTATCCCGGGAGTTGAATCTTGGTGGCAGAAATGATACTCTTTCGTTAAACGTTATTCTGCGTCTATTGGAAACATCCAGAAAACCAATGAGATTTGCATTATATACATATATATATATATATATATAATTTACCACCGGTTTGTCGACAATATGGCGCCAACGCAACAACATTAATAACAATGGAAGGGGACAGGTGGATTGGAGTACGGAGCAGAGTGAAAAGGGGGTGAAACAGTTAAACACGGAAAGTTCAGTTCAGTTCTTACAACCATTCACTTCCGTGCGTCGGTTTCAATTACCCATTTGGATAAAACAGCAGAATGATAATTAGAATTAGAGCAGATTCAAGCGAAAGATGGCACATTTTCATAGACTGAAGTTACAAGAATAATGAGCAGATGCATGAGCGCCACTGTTTGCGACACCCAGCCATATCGCTCAGTGTCTCTAACTGTCGGTGACCATGATCTCGGGGTCCCCAGCCAAGGAGCCTAACGGGACCTATGTGAGCCAGTCTCCTGGTCAGGGTTTTCATACCCTCATGCCAGGTCTTAGTTTGGCCGCCCTTCATTTTTTTCCAACCGCTACCTGCCTCACCAAGCATCGCTCGCCGTGGTTACCCATCTGGTGACATGCGTAACACGTCCCAAACAACGTAGTCTATGGAGGTTGATCACTTCTCCCAGTGGACGACCGCGATTACCTAAAACTCTCCGCCTATCGTCAACATTGCCCGTCCGGTTTCCCCACTCATGCAATGTTATGTAGCGGTGTTCAAACACCGACAGTTTATTTTTATCCTGTTCCCGTAATGGCCAAGTCTGCGCCGTAAAACAGAACTGGCCGAACTACTGCAGCATATACTCGACCCTTCACAAGACAACGGATGTCGCGACGGCGCCACAAATGTCTCAAGTTGGCAAATGCCAACCGAGCCTTTTGTGTGTCGCGACGGCGCCACAGATGTCTCAAGTTGGCAAATGCCAACCGAGCCTTCTGTATGCACGTCGCGACGGCGCCACAGATGTCTCAAGTTGGCAAATGCCAACCGAGCTTTCTGTATGCGTGCCGACACTTCATCTGTGATGCGTCCGCCAGGTGAGTTATAGCTGTCCAGATAGTCAAACGTGTCTACTTTCTCTACAACTTCCCCGGTCAGGGTGAGACTGGGTGCTGGGACAACCCAGTCTTAGAGTAACATTTTACACTTTGAAGGTGCAAATCATCATCGTACAGCGAGATACAGTGAAGCGAGCTTCACTGATGGCTGCCAGGCTCACAATGTACACAAATCAATTAATAAAGCACAAGATGGAGAGGGATTGAGCCTACTTGGAGGGAAGCAAAGAAAAAGAACCCCTATGTTCAACACAGAGCACACAATCTAAGTTTTCATGCATACCTGTTTTCAAGCATTCTGCCCTGTTAAGAAATGACAACAAGAACGCCACTGCTGTCGGTTAGTCGTCATATCTTTTAATATCTCCA